AAAAAAAAAAAAAAAAAAAAGCCCCTACTCACTGGCTGCTGCCAGGTTGGGGGCAATCCCTGCTGCTCTGCACTGAGTCGGGGGTTCTGTTACAAGTCCTGCAATTCTGGGACTTGCTTCATTTTTCACCAACCAGCCAGGACCAGCCTACAAAATCCAGGACTGGTCTCAACCAAACCAAGATGTATAGTCACCCTAGATATAGGTCACTTACTGATACACCACAAAAAGAAAAGTTCACTTATGTCAGTGTTACATACTACTCTTGTAGGACACGGAACACAGCAAGTAATGGGAAAACATGCAAATATTTTTGTTGCAAAAAATTTATAGAAAGTGTGTTTGATCCTGGATACATAGAGCCTAATTTTACTTGCTTCTTGGGCAGTTGTCTAAATTAGCATACATTTTGGAGACTGAAATTGTATAGCATAGATGGAAACCCAATTTTATAATGGGGGCGGAAAAAAGAGGTGCGCACATGCATGCCTAAAAATATCTTCACAACCAAGATAAGGTAGACAATCCTTCACAAAAAAAAAATTATCTGACTGTGGTCTGCAACTGCTGGCCCACACTCCTGTGCAACTTTTCTTGCAGACTACAGGAAACACAAGTGATAACAGGTTATAATAATTTTGTTGGCATAGTAATGGACAAGTAAAAGCTTCAAAGCATGTGCAGTCATCCAACACTGATGACAGCAAATTAAAATGAGTAAAAACAAAGTAGTGCTACTGACACTGCAGATGTCTGAAAATAATTGTGCAACACTAAAGTGGTACTGTTCCAAATAACAAGGTTACCAGGTTCTCCTTAACATTTAGGTAAACAGTTATAATTTAAAGAAATATTAAAATTAGCCAAGACAGATAATTTCTATGAGTACTGTATGTTACCAGTAATCTCTATTCCCTCTATTGACTCAATTATCCTCAAAATGTAGAGCAATGCCTGCAAGTTACTCAGAACAAAAGTCTATTGCACATTCCAGGCTTTGGCAGTTGCTTTGTTATAGTAAACTTTTAAAAACCACTATCCTTTTAGAACTAGTCACCTGCAACAAGCAACTTTGCCATTTTCATTCTAATTACCTCTATAATTAAGACCCTGCATCTTAGCTTTTGCAGTTCATGCACCTAGATACAGAAAACATTTATACAAAGTGATTCCATTCCTAAGAAACAGTGCTGTAAAATTTTGATTTTATACCCATTTCACTCAAACCTCTTAGATAAGGGGTAGTACTACACATGTACAAAGTGCCATTCTTTCTATGTAGTAAGAATGCAAGTGCATCTCAAGAGGGTTACAACAATTATGTCAGCATTAAGTCTGGTTCAGCATCCTCACAAACAGCCACCCGCATCCCCACAAACTGACTGCACTCTAGAAATGCCATTTGTCAAACTGTTGTGGATGGTAAAAGGGGATGGAGAAGACCCTTAAACAACTATGCTGAATTTCAGTCTTACCCTGCAGTGAGTGGTACCAATGAAATTAGGCGAGGAGGCAAAGTCACAGCCTACCTTAATATGCTTTAAAATACTAGTTTGACTGTAAATAAAGAATTAGACCTTTAAATCAACCTTTGACCTTTAATATTCCAATTCAATGCCATTAAGAACAACACACAAATGGGGACTACTGTTTAAAAAAATCAAAACAGAAATTTCCATTTTGACAACGTCAGGTTAACAATATTAGAGCAAGTGATTAGACAGTCAAATTTTATTCAGTTCAGAACTTAAAATTGGAACAGTTAAGTTTCTCCTGCTGGCACTGACTGCAGTTTAGTATAGTATACTATGAGCAAGACCAAACAATTATGTACATGAACATCAAGGAAGAACAGCCAGAACACACAGTAAATAATACAATTATGTACAAGACCTCCAACATAAAAATATGTAATTTGCCACAAAAATAAAAACAAAAAAAAAACATGAAACTGAACGGAGGGAGGAAGAGGAGGATAAACCCCAACTTTAGAAAAAAAAAGTTACAAAAAACATTCAAGGTGAGACATTAAACGATTGCACTACACTAATACAAAGAATCTGACTTGAAAATTGGTGCACTGATGTAGTTCACAGGGCACTAGCTTCAAAAGGAAAATGCTGCTTTCACTAAATGCAGCTTAGGGTTTTCTCCCACCCCCCACATAATTGTTTCAACAGAAAGCCTATTAACACAACAATGATTGTTTTAATGCTACATGTTTACAGCAAAGACAAAAACTAATAGCAGCAGTTTCACATGGCACATACTTCTCCACAGGCTTGGGGTCCCATGGTTTTTGCAATGCCTACAAAGTGCTCCCAGTTGAATATACAAGTAAAATTCACAATAAAAGTTTACCTGACTTCAGGTATATTGAGTGTGGGTGGCCTTAAGCCAGTTTCCTCCAAACTTCCCTCTGTGCCAGAGACACTCTACTTTACAATGAAGCACCCCACCCTGCATTTTTATTTTTACAGGTTGTTAGAAAAATACCTTTTATTACAATGCTGTAACACTAAAAAGCAGCAGACCACCATAGTGGTTAACCCTGGGACGGTGTAACATCTAACAGTGTAACTGAATAGCCTATGGATTAACACTAAGGTCCTCAAATAGACCAGATAGAGTCCACTACCTCAATATTTTAATACAGTCATCAGCTGTATTTTGCAATTAAAAAAAATCTAGAAGCTATTTCTGTAAAATAAGACACTGATTGAGGACTGGACAAGAAGCCAGAACTTGAACCCTTCCTTCAACTCCTGAAAAAAACTCAGTCCAGGAAGATTTTGTGGCCTTTCTTCAACAGTTCTTTAGAAATTGATTAGTTCAGTATATAGTAAGACTAACTGAGCGATTCATTTTTTTCCCAATGAGTCGAGATGTTCTGTTCTGGGACGTAGATCTAGTTTTCATTCGATCAGTGAATAATGCTCTCTCTTCTGCTGCAGCTTTTGCCATTTGTGCCTTCTTCAGTTCTCTGCAAAAGATAAAAATCAATCAGGATTTTCTGTCCAGTATAGTACAGAGGACTAGATCCAAACATAGGTATGTTAAGAGAATCAAAGGTGTTTGTTTTTTGTACTTCAATTACAACTTATATATATTTGTGGTTATTATCTAGAAAGCAGTTGTTAGAAGGAGGGGTACTCATCACAAACCCTTTTTAGAGAGTGTACTAAGTGTAGAAATTTAGTGTTCAGTCACTGCTGAGACCTCTGCAGAAAATTCTAGTAACAGAAAGTACAAGCACCCACTAGGAAGGCTATCAAATGGCCAGTTAGCCCAAGGACGCCAATATTATCTTCCTTTCTTGGTGCCTTCTCAACATGTACAACTTTAACTAGACTACAAGACCAAGCCAATAAAGAAAGAAATAAAAAGTTGCCAGGCTGGACAAAACCAAAAGCCTCCTGGGTCTAGAATCCCTTCTCAAGTAATGGCTGCTTTTGAGGAAGTTAAAACAAAACTCTGCTGCTAAGTAGCTACAGAGTAACCTGACTACAGGGTGAGAGTCCAGTATCTCAGCTTACTCTAGAAGGGAGAAATCCTCATTCTTCATAAGTCTGTTTTTGTGTGAAATTCTTACTAAAAACTGGGTGCTGTCACTTTCCATAAGAAATGCTCTATCCATTTTTAAACCTTACTAAGCTCTCCGTCTCAGACTCAACAAAATAAAGCAAGAGAATTCCACAGACTATTTGTGCATTATGTTAGCATATTTAAAACAAAATGCCTATTTTTAAGTTCAATCAAGTGTCCCTTTGTTCTTGCAAAGCACAAGAAAGTTAGTAGTAATGCCTTATCTACGGTATTGTGTATTACTTTATCTGCCTTCTCCACGAAGTAATCTCCCTTTGCAACAACCATGTTAAATGGCCTTGGCTCTTTCACTTAGCAAGTTATCCTTACCATAGAATCTCTCTCGCTTGTTAGGCACTTGATAAATTTCTCTTATATCCTGTTTTTTTAAATGTACATATAGAGTTCTGCACAAGCCTTTGTTCCATTTACTATTTAGTTTTGTTGCATCCTCTTTTTCAGAGACCTGAAAAAGGGTATAGCAACAGCTGAAAGCTTGTTTATGTCCTTCCCAGCTCTACAGATGTTGCAATAAAATAAGTGGTAAAAAATTCACTTTAAACCCCTACAGCATATCAAGTGACAGTGGCAGTTCTGCAACAGGCAACTACTTCAGCTCCTGGTATATACACCTCATGTCCATGGCATGGGGTATACAACAGCAGTGGCAGCATGTCCAGCATGGGGCAGCAACAGCAGGCAAAAGGTCCTGGAGGGCAAGGGCTGATACAGCTCTTGTTGCTTGCCCTCCTGCTGCCGAGGGTCATATTCACACAGGCCCAAGATACTGCAGCAGGCTACTCCCCTTGGTCAAACCACCAGCTTCCAGTGGCCTGCAAGTGGCCTAGAAGGATCCAGTGAACAGGTCCAGCTAGCGCAGGGGTAGGCAAAAATGCAGCCCGGGGGCCAGGTGCGGCCCACCAAGCCATTCTATCCAGCCCACGGGGATCCTAAAAGATTTAGAAAATTAATATTAATCTGCCCTGGCTGCCTATCATCATGTGGCCCTCAATGGCTTGCCAAAACACTCAGTAAGCGGCCCTCTGCTCAAAACAATTGCCTGCCCCTGAGCTAGCGGGTGGTAGGTTTGACATCTCTACAATAAAAGTTCCATGCACAAAAATCCTTGCCTCTCAATCTTTAATCTTTTGAGTAGATTTTATATGCCCCTGATCATTCCTTTCAGCCATCTCTGAATTTCTTCTATTTTTGCCATGTCCTCTCTCAGGTGGAGTGAACAGGACCTCCTTTAAAAATTAAAAAAGTTCAAAAAAAAAAAAACACAAAAAAGTTATGGTCTTGATGAACAAATTACTATGTAAAACTCTATTGCCTGATGGCTAAATTATGTAATGATGATCCTCCATGACTATTCGGGTTTTTTGTTATTTTGTTTCGAGTACACTAAGAATGAGCATCTCACTGATTTAGGACCTAATTTTAAACACTATTCCTTCTTTCACTGTAACATTGCCAATACTTACTCTTTCTCCAAGATATTAACCAATATAAGAAGTCATCCACAAATTACTGCATTGTACTTCTCACCCTCTTTTCCAGGTTGACATTTTGCACTTGTAAGAGAGTTAGTTTTTTATATCTACTCTGCATTTTGTATCTTACACAGATCTGATCCACAACTGTTTACCCTGTTAATAGTTTAGTTTATTTAAAACAGGTTCTTGGGAGGATTTCAAACGCTTGAAAAGCCAAAAAATGGATGTCAGAGATGGTTATTCTATTCTAGACCTATTCAAAGAACTCCAAAATAAACAAAACTGTTGCTTCAGGCATCTATCTTCCAATATAAACTGTCCTAAGGAAATATATTAAAATTTACTGGGGATAGACAAGTTCTTGCATGCAGCCGAAGAAACAGCTATACAAGTGCTTTTAAGACACAGCCAATCACAGGCTCCATGGTAAAACTTATATTATCTATTATTTTGCCAAGGCCATGTTAACATTGAGATAAGTATTTATTTTTAAAATACCAAGGAAATTGCACCATAAAAATAACCAACTCTAATAAAAGCTACTCTCCCCCAGTTTCCATGCAACACAATATGCTGTCTGTATGTGAACCAGTGGAATGGTCTTAATCCTCAGTCTGTCCTTCAATAAAAGCTTGCACAGGCTGCCAGACCTGGTCCATTCTGCAGTAAACAGTGTTCACCTAGAGAAAAGTACAAGAGATAACCATGCAAGACAGCAAGCCTGCCTGCACTTCTACAGTTCACAGCAAAGGCTTGACATGAAATCAAAGAGGGAGTCTCAGAGCTCAGCTAGATGGAATGCATGGAAGTTAACTAAGAAAAATCTTCAACCAAAACGAAAACCAACACACAAAAATTTCTGGTCATCATGCATCAAATCCATAAACCTAATAGATTCAAATGCTGGAAAACTCCATAAATCCTTGGCTTAATGCTAATTTTAGAAGACAGACCTAACATGTATAAGAGTAGTAAAAAAAAATATGACTCTTCAAAAAGGGAATCTGAAAATTATTCAAAACACTTCTCTTAGTTTTGGCCTTAACATCTGTGCTCCTATTCTTTTAAGCCTCTGGAAAGGAATGAAAGTTTATTTACAACATGCTTTTCTCTCTCTCATTTGCTGGGGCATTCAGTGAAAATAACCAAATCCCCACCTTACAAAGACACTATTAGTTATTTATATCCAATAAACAATATTTTTTAGTCACTTACTTTTGCAAGAGCGAATTTTTAAACTTCTCAGCATTCAGTTCTATCCGCAGCTGCTCTGCACTCTTTTTGGCAGCAGACAGCAGAACAGAATGTTTGACTAGAGCCACTGCCGAAGGTCTTTTTTCTGGATCTGGACTAATCATAACCTTCAAAAGAAACAGTTGCATTTAAAATCCAGTATCAAATACAGCAAGAAAGTAAAAGGTACCATTTGCATAAAACAAAGTCTTACTTTCAGCAATTCCAAGAATTCTTGAGGAAGAACTTGTGGTATTTTCGGCAGTTTTCCCTGTCGAATTTCATGCCACCGGTCTCCGTTTGTTGGAAGTGGTTCAGCACCAGCAGCACACACAACAGTTAGAGCAAGAGCAAAAATATCAGCTTTTGGCAAGTGAGCGTAGTTCTGCAAAGAAAGAAGATTTAGCCTTCTTTAAAAGAAAAAAAAAAAAAAAAGGCACCAAAACAAAACTCTAAGGTACAATTAAACTACTCAGCACTATAAATCTCTCCAGGTGCATCTACACATGCACTTTATTACAAAGCTGACTAATTAGCTCTGCAGTAAAGAGTTACCATCTACATGTGCACCTGCTTTGGGATGCAGGAAATTAATTAACTCTGCTGTAGGACAGTACTGTCCAGGACAAGCACTATCCTACAGCAAATTAGCTATGTGCAGCAGAACAGTGACACAGGCTGGCTGGGGCACAAGGGCACTAGTGTGGGGGCTGCTTGCCAGCTAGCTCTGCACTGAAGCACCCTTGTGCCACTGCCAGCCCCTCTACAGCACACACCCTGGGTGGAACAGCCCTGGGCTGGCAGGCTGACTGCATCCCCTGGGCCTCATGCCAGCTAGCACTGCTCTGCCCTGGCTCAACATGTTGTGGTCCCAGGCACATGTGTAAAAATTATACCTGGGAGCAATCAACTCCAGTGTGAACTGCACCTGAGTTTATTGCTACGTGCTAATTGCATGTGTATATCCACCCTCCAAGTACATTACCCCTTCAACATTATTCTTGTTCCAGATACAAATCTTATTGTAAAATTGTAATTTTTTCCAAAGTGAGGTAGTTCACAAAATTGTTATTATAAAAACAAGGAAGTACAGACTTAACACGTTTAGCTGCAGTTAGCAAGACAGTGGTGTTACCTCTTGTAAGACTTCATTTGCAAGAAAACGACTATCACCTTCCTCCACCTGTGGACTAGATATTCTAGTTACATGACCAAGGTCACCTACAAGAAATAGTAAAGAGGAATTAATTTTTCAGAGAACAAAAGTGAGGTGTGCCATCAGCCATACACACAATATTTTCCTCACCTATTTTAAAAATAATTCTGTCAGACGAGCAGTCGTCGTCATCACCTTCTTCTGATGTCGTACTTGGAACTGATGTCCTAGATATAAAAATATTACCTTAAAAGGGAAAAGAAGAAGTTTTTAGAACAAAAACACAGATCTACAGTTTTACCTCATTTGCATTCAAAGTGATATTTATTACCAAAGTAGACTCAGTTATATACCCAGTCCCTGGAATAAGACAGGAGTGAAACCACCTCAGGGGACAGAACCCAAAATTTTAAGCAACTCAACAAACTTCACTCCAGAAAAGATCACCCAAGATGAACCCAACAAGAAGAGTTATGCCAGCCAATTTTACAATGATATCTTTTGCACTACTGTTCAGGCTTTCAAAGAAGAATCTACAGTTAAGGTGTGGCTGGCTTCTTACTTTATGCAACAGACTAAACCGACCAAAAGAAACAGTCAATGGAACTTCAGAGTGAAACACTTATATACTTACTAGGCTTTATATCCATGTGTACTAGAGACATTGAATGAATATATTTTAAGCCACGAGCTACCTGAAGTAGAAGATCTTTCAGCTCTGGTTCAGTAAAGTAGCGCATATTTCTATAGTTTTCACTTATAGCATCAGCTAAACTGCCACCTAAAAACAAAGTCAAATGAGTCAGCTCCTTATTTTCATAGCCGTTTCATATAAAATGATTAAGGTTTTACAGCAGACTCCCAAAAAACTAGTGGGCCACAAACCACCAAGGGCTTGCTAAATATTCATGTGATATCCATCTCTTTCCCCTTATTTAAAAAGGTGCTAATGCAGCAACAGTATTTTTCTGTATAAGCATCAGGACAAGTGGACTCCGTGCCTCCACATGTGGCTTCCCACAGGAGTGCTGGAAGCAGCATGTGAGGGCATGAAACTGGCCCACCCGGCGGTGCATAACACATACCCACCCATGAACCCCACAGGCAGGCAGCTCTCCTCCCCATTTACCCAGCTGTCCAGTCACATGGCTTTGTGCCTCCACATCATGGGAGGTGGAGACATGGAGCCCACCATGGTTAAATTATACAAAATTATGCAAGTATGCAGGGTCATGCCTTATGGGCAAAATTGCACAGGTGCATAATTGCACAATTCCCTAGAGTACAAATTTTTAACCTCTCTCAAAAGACCTCCAGTACAGTTGCTGGAGGTGAATAAAGTTTCACTGATAAAAGTTTTCACACTAAATTCAGCTCAGACTTGGATTTGATTTTTTTTTTCCTAAGGGGAGCTCTTACTGACTGTAGTATGTTAACACACTTTTGCTAATCACACAAAGTTCTTAAAAAAACAAAACAAACCCCCCCCACACACACCTTAAGAGTACCTTAATTTCCATTTTCTTAACTATAAAACAAAGCAAGTACTTATTTTTTCCTTTGTTCTTAAAGTGTCCGTACGCCTAGTGGTAAAAACAAACTACATTCTAAAAATTATATATGCGTTCTTCCTTAAGATACTAAATTAAAAAAAAAAAAAAAAAGGGGGGGGGGG